AGGAATGATTATGTGACCACCTTCCTTTTAACTGAAAAAGTTTCTGTGAGTTATTCTCAACTAAGGAACACATCAAACACTTATTTCCTAAAGATTCATATCACGTAGGGAACAATTTTCTCCTTGACAATTTCTCTGTGGTTACCAAAACAACATAAACAAAAACAAGGAAAGTCTTACTGATTGGTGCCAACATTGGGGCCCAGTGTATAAAAACCCCAGAATGGAAGAAGTCCTCAGAATCTGAAAAACTCACCTCTGAACAGAAACTTACCTTCTACACCTGACACCATGTGCTGCTCTCCTTGCTGCCAGCCCACCTGCTGTGGGTCCAGCTGCTGCCCGCCTTGCTGCCGCTTGCTGCCAGCCCATGCTGTGGGTCCAACTGTTGCCAGCTGCTTGCTGCCGCCCATGCTGTGTGTCCAGCTGCTGCCAGCCTTGCTGCCGCCCATGCTGTGGATCCAGCTGCTGCCAGTCATGCTGCTGTCCAACCTGGTGTCAGACCACCTGCTGTAAAACCTCCTGTTGCCGGCCTAGCTGCTGCTGCCGCCCTTGCTGTGTGTCCAGCTGCTGCCAACCATGCTGCCAGCCATGTTGCTAGTCATGCTGCCCCCTTTGCTGTGGGTCCTGCTGCTGATCACCTCACAGAAGAAACACCTTCATACACCATCTGTTAACTGACTCGCCATGTTGGGAAAAATTTAGTTCCTAGGCCTGGCTCATAACCTGCATGCTCTACTTTAACTTCTGTGACTCATTTGCCTGATACAAACTTGTAAATCAGCTGGATGGAGAGCAGAGGACGTCCCCAATCCTCTTCCTCCCGGGTTGGGGGATCATGTGTCAGCTTTGAGCATTTTCAAAATGGAGCTATGGTCTCTGATTTGACTCTGTAGTCAAGGTCTTCACCCTCTCCCTCTGTGTAACTTAGAAAAACAAATTTTGTAACTGTTACATAGGTTTTCTGAAACTGCTGAAAATCTTCTCAATCCTGTTTTCTTTTCCCTTGCACTCCTAGTTCCTGTAATCCTGCTTTCTTTTCCCACAGTCACTCTGAGTTGGTTCCCTAGAAACGGAAAGTTGTACCTCTATTTCTTAATAAAGTCTGTTCATTCCACATTGTATTTGGTTTTATTATAAATCCTGATGGAAGGATTTGCACACCTGTTGCACATCAAATGCACGATCCATTCTGAGCTTCATACAGTCCACCCAAAATAATTATCTCCATTCCTCACATGAGAGCATCTCACTTGGTCATGTTAGATAGCAGATTTGGACAGACTCAGACCCAAGACTGTATCTTTTGCTTTAATGCTCAATGGCACTTAAGTTTCTATCTCAAGACAAATCAGAAAAA